CAATAAAAAATTCAAGAATTCTTTTCTTTAGATATCAAATTCTGGATATGGGTGAATCTGTCAAACCCAAGCTATTTTGCAATCAATCTTAGAGACTGGGAGCTTCTTTTTGGTGCTATTCTTTGGAACCTCTGGCTCCAACATAATTCTATGGTTTTCGATTCTCCCATGGACGATTATGATTCGGTAATTGTTCGTAGTTACCGTCTGCTCTCCTTGACTATTTCTGCTTTGAATCCTATTGGTTCTACGGTTCCTATGCCCTCGATAGTCTTGCAAGGTCCTTGTTGTTGGGGTCCCCCTAAGGAGGGCTGGGTGAAGCTTAATTCCGAAGGGGCTTGTCGTCCGAGTAATAATCACGCTTCGTGCGGTGGCATTATACGGGAACATAAGGGTGTTTGGCTTATTGGGTACACTAAGTTCATTGGTTCATGTTCTATTCTTGATGCGAAATTGTGGGGGTTGTACCAGGGTCTTGTTTGTGTTTGAGATGATGGTTTTAGCAGGTTATAGTGGAATCAAATAACAAGAATGCGATTAATCTTCTCGATGGCGGTAGGAATCGTTGTGGAGGAAGCTCTCTCTCCTGTCGCACATTGTTGAGCTGAGACAATTTAACTGGTATGTTACTTTTCGGTATATTTCAAGAGAGGGGAATCGGGTAGCTGATTCCTAACCCAAGTTGGCCACTGATTCTATTTTTGATGTTCAATACCTGCGTAATCCTCCGGATGCTGTTCTTTCGCTACTGCATGATGAGTTGCATGTTACGGTTTAATACTTGGGCTTTGTGGTTGTTTTCTTGTACCTTTTCTGGCTTGTTTAAGTATGTTGTTTTGTTGTCTTAGTATTACCGGTCGTACTCTTTTCCTCCTACTAAAAAAGGATAAATTATATCAATAGTCATCTTTGTTTTCGATCTGATCGACTTTGGTCACTAATTTAAAAATTAAAGGTACATGGTTCATAACGTTATCTGTCTGTTCGATTTTAATCTCTAGCGTTATTGATCCGTTTGATTTTAGTCCCTCAGTCATTAACTCCCGTTAATCCTTTAACGGAAGTATTAGGTGGCAATTAAAAAATAATAAACAAATCCACATAAGTCACCAGAGTGGTGTGAAATAAAAATTTATTAAAAAATCCGAACCCCACTCCCAACCACCCCCAAAAAATCCAGGCTTCTTCTTCTTCTTGAATTAAATGCAAAAAGCACAATAAATATTGTCCAACAAATTCCACACAATCCTTCCTACTATAAAACCAACCCATTATTCCTCACTCTTTATAAAATTTCCCTTTCTCACTTAAACATGCACCAAATGGTAAGCTCCACAGTCAAGTTCATGGCTTTGTTTCTGATTCTATTCTATGTGGAATCGAGTGTGGCTGCGAAGCACACAGTAGGTGACCAGCTTAATTGGCGACCGCTTGTTAACTATTATAGTTGGGTTCGTAGCAAGTCCATTAAGCTAGGCAATGGTTAAAGCATATATCTCATGAAGATAATGGAAATGGCTGCTGCTTCGATGATGATATATATGATGATAACCGGTTCCGTTATCCAGTATCTAAACTTGCTGCATTGGTTATAAGTGATTAGGATTAAGATATTCATATTGATTATATGTATTGTGTAGATATCGATCGAAGACAAGTCCAAGACGGTTCGAAACTATAAGAGTGTACAAGAGTTGTACGATATGAATGGACTAGTGAGGCCAGGTGAGTACATACTAGTAGGAAATATGATTTGATAGAAATTAGACTTGCGACAAGTCTGTTTTCGACATTTTGAAAATATGATTATATGAGTAGAATAATGATTATGATTATAGTGTGTGAATATGCCTTGTATGTATTACATGTATGAGACTTATGTGAATATAAGAGAATAAAACATAAACTATATGAAAATATATGAGTCATATGATATAACCTATGTGAACATATGAGAAAGGATATGAGTTATATGTGTTACATGATATATGTGATATATGGGAAACATATGTGAACAAGAGATGACAATAACATACATGTTTATATAAACACATGAGAAGTGTTATAAGCTATGTGACATATGAATATGAAATCATATGAAAGGTGATATGTACATGTGAATATGTCTATGTGAGATAAGTGATATGAACTTTCATAAATGTCCATGTTATGTGATATGAAAGCTAGGGGTACAGTTGACATGCCAAGAGTCGATGGTTACATAGGTCCTTTGGAACATATTTCACATGTCACTCAGTGGACCCTTATACGAGCTGTGGTGACAGTATATCTACACAACCTCAATGTACTCACATATCTTTAGTTCTTACATGTGTACATGGGCTATCTAAAAGATACAACATGAGTAAATTCTATGTGATGTTATGTGTTTGTTCGGTGATATGATATGATATGATGTGTATAAGTGTTAAATATAAGATGATATATTAAAGGGATTAATGATAACCTATATGAAAGTAATGAGAATGTAGATGGTGATATATGTGCATATGTGTATATGTTACAAGAAAGAATATATGCTTTCGTATGATATGATAGCATTAATTATTCATGCATTGTTAGAAGTTAGAGTTTACATTAGATGTTTTATATGTCTCACTAAGTCATCGACTTAGCGTGTGAGTGTTTCACACGTAGGTTTCGAGAAGATTGAGGAGCAAAGGGGAGCAAGACATGCCAACTTCTCCTTCCTAAAGATCAGATCAGAAATGTATATGGATAATATGAATATTTTGTTATAAGGAAAATAGTTGGCATGTAAATAAAGCTTTGAATTGTATCAGCTCTGATAAGTTTGTAAACTCTTTGATATAAATAGTATAAATTATGCATTTTATTTTAATAAAAGTTAGAAATTTTATTCTTTTGTAAAAGTAAATGTTTTGAAAAGTCAATATGACACCTCATACTCATATCCGGGTCAGATACGAATTAGAGGTGTTATAGTTCGACCAGATCAACAAGACTATGCGGCACATAATAGTGGTGCGACTCCATGGACGCATGATAGGATACAAAGCTCTCTTATCCAGAATAAACACGCTATGGAAACCCCTAAGAGAGATTAAACTCATCGACCTGGAGAATAACTACTACCTAGTTCGTTTTGCGGATGAACGAGATTACTCCAAGGTACTCACGGAAGGGCCGTGGAATATCTATGGAAGTCACTTAACAGTTCAACCATGGAATAGAGCCTTCTCTACATCGGAGAAGCATCCATCACAAGTGATTGTAAGGATTAGATTGTCAGGCCCCTCATATAGGTACTATAACAAAGCATTGTTTCAATACATAGCAGCAGCCATAGGCAGAGTAATTAAAATTGATTACAATACACAAGTTGGTGGTCGGAGAAATTTGCGTGAGTAGCGGTGATTGTGGATCTCAACAAACCATTACTTCCATTCATTGGAATAGACAGCTATATGCAAAAGCTAGAGTACGAGGAGCTGCAGAATATATGCTTTACCTGTGGGACTTACGGGCACTTGAAGGATGAGTGTAATAAAGCTGGTAATATAGCTAGTATTTCGACGGAGAACAAACCACCAGGAGACATGGAAACCAGAACTAGGAATGAACAAAGAGAGGTAAACGGCCCAGTCGAAGACAAACCTTTTGGCCCTTGGATGATGGTAGTTAATAGGAGATGTAGAAGCAATACACAACCCAAAACTAGTATGAACATAAATACAACAAACGAAAACAACTATGGGTCGAGGTTCAACGTACTTGGTGAAGTGGAAGAAGGAGAGGCGAGAAAAGAGGTGACTGAACCAAAAGAAAGTAGAATAGCACAACAACATAACCAAAGGGAGAAAGGTGAGGAGGTTTTAACAGGTCTCCATTTAGAGAACCAGGAGAATATAAGACCAAAAAAATCCACAACACATCTGGAGTCAAGTCTAGATAAAATAAAAAAGGAGCTAGAAGTGTAGCACAAGGGGTAGAAGTAATCTCGATAAGTGAAGACCCTACGACAATGATAGTAATTCATTCAATGGAAATAGGAAGCGGTGAAACAGCAGGCGAACATGAAGTTGTATCAATAATGAAACCAAACCAGCAGATTCAAAACACAACCGGGTGGAAGAGCATCATACATAGAAGTGCTACGAATAAAACATTTAAGAACAACCACAAGCGTGGGGTAAAGATGCACAAACCAGGTGAATTTCGGACACCACGTAGACAAAACTTAACAGAATGGAACAACAGTTAGTGAGTTATGGGACGCAAAGAGAACATGTCTCAACAGCCATACAAGAACCAAACCAAATAGATGCAATAAATCCACCACCATCAGTGGTGATTCTAACAGAAATCATGGGAATAGATAGGGTTAATGAAGATGTGGGTCTTGAGGAACCATATCAGCTGAGCGAGCAATAAGTCTTTGAACCACAAAACCATCATGTTAATGATAATGAAGTTCATATTTTGGAACTGCTAGAGCGCAACGAGTCTGAGCTTTAGAAGAATTTTCAAACACATCACGAGGGAGCATAATCCGAGCATAGTGACCCTCTTTGAACCCCGAATAAGCGAGAACAATGCAACGCGCATAATTACTAAACTCGGTTTCAATCATTCTTTTTTAATCGATCGAGGCGCAAGGTTTTGGGGGAGGCATATGGTTATTATGGAACAACGAAGTGGAAATTAAGACGGTGGAATGGGTACAATTCACAGCAGTTTACGCAAGCCCCCACGCAACTAAACATAAACATTTATGGAAACATCTGGAAGAACTTCACCCGGGAGATGATGTGCCATGGGTGTTGGGAGTGACTTCAATGTAATCCTATCAGCGGACGAACATATAGGAGGCGCTACTAAACATGAAGGAGGTAGTAGGTTGATGACAAAATTCATATTTAACGAAGGCTTAATAGATGTAGGATTTCGTGGGCGCCATTCACATGGAACATGGGTAATCTCTACCAACGGCTGGATCGTCGCTTGGTAAATGAAAAATGGATGTCGAGCTTCACAGTTTCACATGTAACTCGGTTTTTATGTCATTTCGGGTTTACCGTGATTGTGACCGTCGCAGGCGCTATTGCAGGTAACTTGAACATCGACGAAACCAATATTTCGCAGACGAAATCAAATTTTCGGACCGTGATTTGAAACCCTGGGTCCGACCATAGACAGTTAGTGCTGCAACTCAAAGAAAATGTAAAGAAAAAAGGAGAGAGGCCATTCAGATACATTGCGGCATGGCAACAACATCCGAACTTTCAAGAGTTATTGGGAACAGTTTGGGATAAGGATATGGATCTTGAACATAATCTTAGTGAGTTTAAAAAGAAGGTAACAATATGGAACAAAGAAACCTTCGGTCACATCGGAAAAAAGAAAAAGAACCTCTTGGTACGAATCAGAGGAATTTGGAGGGCACTAGAAACCAGGCATTCAGAGTTCCTTAATAACCTTGTTGTTGAGCTACTCACAGAACTTGATATAGTCCTCGAACAAGAAGAGAGCCTATGGCGGCAGAAGGCATGCTCACAATGGGTCACACAGGGGGACAGGAACACAAAATACTTCCATGCTTCAACTTTATCCCGACGACAAACAAACAATATCGCTGCACTTAAACAGAAGGACAATAGTTGGTGCACGAACGAAACTGAACTAGCATTGTTGGCAAGGGATTTTTTCCAAAAGCTTTTCTCATCGTCAACCAATGGTCACCACTCATGGAATATAAGGGGCTGTTTTCCAAAACTAGAAGCAGGTGAATTAGAAAAGCTCATTGAACCGGTTACTAACGAAGAAATTAAAAAAGCATTTTTCGGCATGGGGCCACTTAAAGCGCCAGGTATAGACGGGGAACATGCAGCGTTTTATCAGAAAAAATGGAGCGTAGTAGGAGAGTCAGTCTGTGCCTGTATTCAAAAGAATTTTGCCCAAGGGTCTATACCAGCAGACTGGAACCAAACACTTTCAGTGCTAATACCGAAAATCACAACTCGTAAACTTATAACGCAATTTCAACCAATTAGCCTATGCACGGTGATTTATAAGGCGATCATTAAAATTATCGCAAACAGATTAAAGCACTTAATGCCGATGTGGATATCTGAAAACCAAACAAGCTTCGTACCTTGGCGCTCTATCACGGATAACATAATTATCACTCAAGATGTCATTCATTCATTGAGGAAAAAGAAAGGAATAAAAGGTTGGATGGCAATCAAGATCGACTTGGAAAAAGCGTACGATCGACTCGAATGGAGTTTTATTGATGATATGCTTAGTGACCTAGGGATACCGGACTCTCTATGCCAGCTTACAATGAATTCTGTCACGCCAGTATCCACACAGATTCTTTGGAATGGATCATTGATAGAGACGTTCAAACCTACAAGAGGTATTCGATAAGGGGACCCTTTACCACCGTATATTTGTCTTATGTATGGAACGACTAGCACAAGCAATCCAAAAGAAGATCACTAAGAACTAGAAACCATTCTGCACATCAAAAGGTAGCCCCGGTATATCACATTTATTTTTTGCAGATGACATGTTACTTTTTGCCGAGGCATCCGTTGACCAAATGCACGTAATCCGAGCGACTTTGGATGAATTCTGTGAAGTTTCCGGGCATAAAGTGAACCATGGGAAAACTAATATCTTCTTCTCAAAGAATGTACCAACAGACCTAAGGAACCGATTTAGTTTATCATTTGGTTTCAAAGAGGTAAAAGATCTTGGCAGGTATTTAGGAGTACTGCTTTTGCATCAAAGAGTCACAACAGCCTCATAAATATTTGATACAAATGGTAAGGAAAAAATTGGACGGATGGAAGGAAAAATCCTTATCATTAGCAGGACACATTACACTGGTCAAAGCAGAACTAGAAGCAATCCCTCTGTACACAATGCAAACGGAAATTCTGCCCAAAAAAAAACATGTGAGGAATTAGAGAGAATTACAAGGAGGTTCATCTGGGGTATCACCTCCGAGAGAGGTGGTGTTCACTTAGTCAAATGGAAGGACGTCTGCCATCCAATTTCACATGGGGGGCTCGGATTAAGGAATCTGAAGAATCTGAAGGCACAAAATGAAGCTTTTATTATGAAGTTAGCATTCAATCTCATCGCCAAACCGGAAGCATTATGGGTAAGGTTTTTACGAGCCAAATACAAATGCAAAGAGCAGGTACCTACCTCACTACGCAGTACCAATTGCTCGAGAGTGTGGAAGGGATTGAGTATTGTCTGGAATGATGTACAACAAAATATCCAATGGTTTGTGGGTAACGACACTAAAACTGACTTCTGGCACGATAATTGGATCAATGCTACAGGTCCGTTATTTAGACATATACCACCCGCCACTGCTGTGTCCATAGAAAGGAGAACGGTTGCCAGTATGGTGGACTCACAAGGAAATTGGAAATAGTCAGAAATCCAAGGGTTGCTCCTAGTAAATATTCTGCTGCGTCTTGCCGCAATTAAATGTCCACCGCATGTAGGAACAGATGCAGTAGGATGGAGGGATCGAACAGACACTCAATTTACCATCCAGTCAGCTTACAAGACAAGGTTAGGGCAAGTAGAAGAAACTAATGAGAAGGTATGGGAAATAATACATGGGTTCAAAGGTTTACAGAGAGTTAAAGTGTTCCTTTGGTTAGCTTGCCGCAATTAATTAATGACAAATGCGGAACGCATGAGAAGGCACTCATGCACTTCACCTCAGATGATCGATGCACAATATGTCAGGACCAGGTTGAAGACGTAAACCATGTGTTGAGGATATGCCCGACGGCAATATCAATTTGGTAGATACTAATCAAACCAGATAAACTTCAAGAGTTTCTATCATTGGAACTTAAATATTGGATTGAATTGAACTTAACTCGTAGTAGTTATTTTGCAAAGGAAAGCAGTGAATGGGAGCTTTTGTTTGGAGCAGTGTGTTGCAATCTATGGATGGAACGTAACTCAGTCACATTTAACAATCCAATGGAAGATACACGATCAATGTTGGAGCGAAGCAAACATTTACAAATGATGACTTGTAAAGCACGAGAAGGAAGCATAAGCCAATCAATACAAGACTCGAATGGGGTACAAGAATCAATTCAGTGGATTTCACCGGATGTGGAATGCTGCAAACTAAATAAGGATGGTGTAAGAAGCCCGAACGATGGCATTGCGTCATGTGGAGGGGTAATGCGCGACTCAAACGGTAACTGGAAATTAGGATTTGCAAAATTCATTTGAATTTGCTCGATACTTGAGGCGGAATTATGGGGGACATTTGTAGGACTCTCTTGCGCTTGGGACTTTGGATTACGTAAGATTATGCTAGAAGTGGATTCAATGGATGCTTTTCGACTACTACAAGGAGACAAGATGAACCGAGGAAGCTCTTATCTATTACAGCACATATACAAGCTGCTTAGACGTAATTGGACTGACAAAGTTCAGCATAAAGACGAAAGGGAAACAGATTAGCTGACGTAATGGCAAAAAAAGCTAATAAGGAAGATTTTGAAGTTCGCTTGTACAACTCCCCACCACCGGAGGTTTTGCAGCTACTTCAGGAGGAGTCCATGACTTACTCCATGCAAGCTTAACTAGTTTTTTTCTTTTCTTTTTTTAACCAAAAAAAAAAAAAGAAGAAAAATATATATAAAGTACAGACTAATGTGACAACCTTTTTCTTACAAAAAATTAAGAGTTAATTGCATCACACATCCTCAAACTATGACATTTATTTTAAATTGATTCTTAAACTTTTGAAAATTCTAAATTCATCCCCAAACTAGGACCCTCATTCTAGATTGGTCCCCAAAATTTTGAAATTATAATGTTCAAAAGTTTAGGGACTAATTTAGAATGAAAGTCATAGTTTAGGGATTTATAGTGAAATTAACTCAAAAATTAATGAAAGCACTGAGATTTTTTGGTACAAAACAATGTACCGGTAACAGTTCAGAGAACGTTGCCTTCGTCTAAAAATGAAAGAATTTCAACATTTGAAATGAAAAAAAAAAGTTCATGTCTTCTTATTGGTTCTAACAATCAACTTTGAGACCAACTCCTTGAGATGGTCGCATCGGCTACGGTGGTACTCTATCAGCAAACAAAGCTGCCTTATGGATTCCCTCTTCTCTTCTGCACGACTCAACAATGTCTCATCTTTTTCGTTGTTGATCTTCTCCAATTCCACCACTCTATGTTCAAGCAGACTCACAGCTTTCAACAGCTTCGACTTTTGTTCTTCTTCCTCGTACAGCCTAGCTTCCGAATTCGAGACAGCCTCGTTTAACGACCTCTTGTTCACCTTGTCCATTTCTGCCACGAATAAATCCACATTACTCCTCAACTTTTCTTTTCTATTTTTCTTAGTAGATACAAGCTCTCCCACGGCTTTCAGAATTCGAGTTGCAGGATTTTCATGGACTTGTAAATTGTTCACTATGAAACTCGAACGAGCCGCTGCATCATCCTTCAGCTTAACTAGCTCTGCTTCACAAGTGACAAGCTTTTGTTTTAGTGCTTCATTTTCTTGCTCTAGCCTTTCCTTTATGTTGTTGTAACTCTCTTTGTTGTCATAATGTGTTTTTTCAGCAACCGCGATCCTGAGGCTCAAAAGTGTGATGTTATCGTCGACTTTCTGGTAGAACTCTTGTGCTAAATCCTCCATCTTTCTTTCTAGGATATGATAAGTAGGCTTGTTTCCTTTAGACAATTGTTTGAAAAGCTTAGAGTTGTAAGTATTTTCCTCTATTTGTTTCATCATTCTCTGCTGATCGGTGATCTGCAACTCCACCTTTTTATCCATCTCCATGGGATACATCCGAGCAGTTTTGTTAACCCTTCTACTTTTGCTTTCTTGAGCTGAAAGCTCAAGGCCCCTTTCTCTAAATAGTGCTTCCAATGCCAGAATTCTGGAATTCAGGTGATTATTTTCCTCGTTCAGTTGATTGATTTCATGAATATAACTCCTAAATTCGTCTTCTGATTTAATTTTCTGTTTGCTTAGAGCATCCACCTCCGATTCCAAGTGCATAACCTGCACCTGTAACCGTCGTTTTTCTTCCACCTTTGTCAGCTCAAAAGCACTCTTTCTTGCTATTTCCTCTTTCAAGGACTTCACTTGAACCCGATACCGGGATATTTCTTTGGATTTCCTCTCGAGTAGAATCTCTAATTTGGTTTTCTGGTCATGTAGGGAACCACATTCCGGCTTCATTACATTCGTCATATCAAATGATTCATTGCTTTCACATGTTATACTTCCCCGGGCATCAAATTGTTGGGCACGTAAAAAGTCCACCTCCTTTTTCAGATTGCAGACCTGTACCATTGATTCACTAATTCTAGATGTTAGATTGTTTTCATTGTCTTTGATTTGCTTCATGAGTTTACTTACTTCATCTCCTTCCTCCGGAATCTGCACAAACATTGCCTTATTTTTCTCTCCTTGCTGTTTGTTTTCATCCATCTTACCATCAATCCGAACTTCCAAATCTCTTCTCTCATGGTGCAACGGTTCCAGCTCAGTTTTCAAGCTAGTTACTTCATCTTTATTGAAGGTTTCTATTTCTTGTGATTTAATTGATGCAGCCATATGGTCTGAAGCTAAAGCTTCTTTCTCTTTGGTCCTCGAGGCAAATTCGTGTCTCAGGTCCGCTTCTTCTCCATATGGCCATTTAAGTTCTTCCTTGATGTTGTTGGCCGTCCATCTAGGGGAACTTCTATTGGTATCGAATGCAGTGTCAGTTTCGATTTCTACATCCATAGGGGAGTAGTATTCTGATTCCGAGTCGGACGAATAATAGGGAGAACTTCCATTTCCTTTCCCTTTGAGAGCTTTATCGCCGGAATCTCGTTTAAGATGTTCATATTGGGCATAAAGTGACTGGTAGTCTCTGTGAAAGTCCTCAACAAGCCCAATGAGTTCTGGCTCCTTTTTCCCGCTTTCCCTCTTGATGATCTTCAAGACTCTGTCCACTTTCCTTTCAACATCTGCAAAATGAAAAATAAATAAATAGCATGGAAATCTTGAATCTGATACATCGACATCAAATGAAAATCTACAGAAGAAACTGTTAAAACTCTTATCTTAGTGAAAAAGCACCTGAGATCCTACAGCACAGAATAAATACAACAAACACCTATCAAGAGATTGGAAGAAAAGTAATTGACATTAAACAATGACAACTATATAAGGTGGTCAAAGGACTACTCATAAGCTAACAGACACAATTCATTTGTTTCTTCTTTTATGGTCCATGAAGACTGATCCTTTTCGGAGTTCATGACTGTTTCTTTTCTCCAAATTCAAACCAAGGAAGTGGAATGTTCCTTATCACTGCACCCAACACTTGTCGGTGACAGTCATAACTCAGTTTTCCTTTGTAGAGTAAAGTATGGTTAGGAAGTGATTTCTCAGGACCCCGCTTTGGCTGAAACATATACATAATTGCAATGGCTGTATACGGCATGCAATACAACTACTTGAGCGTGGCAATATGCGGTTTTAACTTTTGCGGACATTGTCTTATGTTTAGTCAAAATGGACATAAAATGCACATAACTTTTTAAATATGCATCCATTAAGATTTACATTAAGAAACAAATAGGAAAAGCTTATAGGCAGCTGATAAAACCTATTGAGATAATTCATTAAAACAAACTTTAGATACATTCAATAAATTACGGTGAAAATGTTTATATTATGGCACTCATGCTATCTTTGTATCTTCAACATATCAGATGATGATAATAGAGGTAGCCTAAGGATATATCCGCAAGGTGCAAATTTGATTTTACACCTAAAATAAAGTGATTTGTTTATTTATTTATTTTTGGGGAGGGGGGGTCATCATTTTCTACAAACCTGTTTTAGTCACTTCCACTTGCTCCATTGTTCTGGACTTGTGTGTATCAGGGTAACACTTAGAGGTCTCTTTCAGGTTATATTGCTGCTTCTCCAACACAAAATTTGAAGCGAGTTTAAAGAGTGAACCCCTGAGCAAAAAAATGCAATCTCCATCTCAAACACATCAAACTAAATCTCTGAAAACAAAGGTGACATAAGATTAGTAAATAATTTTGACATTGATACATTCAAACATAGCAAGTCCTAAATCAAGCATATCCTCAAAAACAGCTTGGGCGTTCCCCACTTTTTTAGATGATTTACCCTTTGTTTCTCCTTCCCAACCAAAACAAAAAATTTGCATTTCATCATAAACAAAGTTGAAATAGAAGTAAACCGATTCATCTTCTGCACAAGGACTGCTCATCAGGCATTTATCCAAACTCCTCAAAATTCAAACTCTGGCAAAATTGACTTTGAAAAACAAGTAACAAGGCATACCTGTCAAAGTCTTCCCAGTACATTATTGACCTAACTGCATTAAGAATTCATTTATTAGAATAATACCTAGTCAAGATTCTTAGTAGGGGATGTAAATTAACCACTCAATTTTCCAACTCCACCCTAAATAAAGTCCATCTATTTTTACTATTCAAACTTATAATAATTGCATCAATCCTACTTAATGAGATCAAACTAACCCAGCTAACAAAAGAATAAGAAAAAAATATACCGTTTGTTGCCTTGAACACAGTTATGCATCTAGGAATAATCCTTCAGCAGAGGAATCTAAATCTAACAAGAACTTTAACAATTTATGTCGCTCCAATTTTTATTTTTACCTGAGCACAACATAGTATGGGTGTAGGGATATGATCCTTGAAAAACTTTCAAAACTACAAAACATGCTCATGTCAATTACACATCCGTATGTCACTAGCATCTAAATCTGAATAAAATATATAACGATTGTTCAACGCCATAGCTTTATATGATTTCAACAATAAGGCCCACCAAAAAATGGTGGTCCATTAATAAATCCGGATCCCCTTGGATTGGGTGATGCATAAAATGGTGGCTTAGGTTTGAGATGTCAACTTCAAAGGAAACAATCCCCACCCATTTATTGCCAAATTCGGTTCCGAAATTCAAATACCTTTTCCCTACCATAGGAAGAAAAATTACCAGCTAACATCTAGTTCATTGCCACCTTTGGCCTAGAAATCTTGATAAGGTGATTATACGTTTTTCAATAATTTTTTTTAATTAGTTAAGGAATTGCTGCATCGAATCATTAACACGTCGATTATGCTTACATTCGATGAAAGCTACGTAAAACATATTCAGTTGACAATATGATGGATCAAAAGATCAGACAATTTAAATTGACAAATATAGTTTTTTTCTCCTAATTGAAATATGAAATTTACTAATTTGAGTAACTTTTTCTTTTCATCTTCGTTGATAATGGAACGAAGAGAAAACAACATTCATTTCACAGCAATTTTATATCGGAAGCAAATATTACCAGAAAATTGAAGGCGAAATTTCCCTCTGCCGATCGAAATGCAATGTGAATTGATAAAGTAATTGAAATTTAGGAGACATTTTTTTGCAGGAAAAACAGTATAAAAATGGCTATCGCAAAGGGAATTTTGGCGGTTTCTTTTGATACAAATTTAGCCCTATGATTTCGATTTCTGGTAGATTTAAAATTAGCCAGAGTTGCTGAATCTCATTTTATCGACTTGCAAAAATAAGCGACAATTTCATTTCGAAAAAGAAAAAGAAAAAGAAAACTAAAAACGCGTGCCACATGGGTGATGTCCCGCGCTTTGTCCTGGCCTAACTTTTTGTTTTTTTTTTTTTACATTTGTTTGAACTTTGGGTTAGTATTTGGCTTAATACAATAATAATAATAATAATAATAATAATAATAATAATAATAATAATAATAATAATAATAATAATAATAATAATAATAATAATAATAATAATAAATTATGTTTCAAAAAATATTTTAGTACATAAAGAATTTTTCATAAAAAATAGATGTTTAATATTTTATCCGTTACCATTTTAGGTGTCCAGATATTAATCGTTGTTAAAAATCTCTGTTAAGTAACACATGTCACGTTATGATAATTTTAAGAATTTTTATTTAAAATAAAAAATATATTAAAAAACTTAATTTTTTTTCAAATCTTTAAAAAAAACTCAAAACTTTTAAAACTTTAATTTTAATCCCATTGCCACCACCGGTCACCACCAACGCCGTTAATCGGCTGAACATCCAACGATGTGTGACCAACCAACCATCCACGACCAAAACCCCATACTTTCGCAACTGATCGAACACCAAAAAAAGATGTAAATGAACGATTTCGTTTTAGGATTTTGAATCCCTTATGTTTAAGAATTTTTAGATATAGGGGGATTTGATGTTCGATCGGTTGCAAAAGTATGGGGGTTTTCATCGTGAGTGGTTGGCCGATCACACGTCGTTGGGTGTTTGACCGATTGACGGCATTAGTGGTGGTCGGCGGTGGCAAAAGGAATTAAAATTATGGTTTTAAAAGTTTTGGATTTTTTTAAGATTTGAAAAAATAGGTTTTTTTTAAAAAAAAATGTTTTTTTATTTTATATATTTTTTTCCAAATTACCAGAATGTTACAGGTGTAACTTAACGGAGACTTTTAACGGTGTTTAACGCTCGGGCATCTAAAATGGTAACGAAAAAAACGTTAGACACCTATTTTTAGCGAAAAATTCTTTAAGCACTAAAATGTTTTTTCGAGGCATAATTTAGGCACTTATCTTTGTATTAAGCCTTAGTATTTTATAGGGTAAAGTATAAAAATAGTCCCCTGACTATAAATAAGATGTTGTTTTATTAAGTCCTTCAACTATTAAAAGTTGTAAAATGATCATCCGACTATTAATATGTTCCAAAATCATTTTTGCGTTAAAAAAGTTTGAGTTGGACATTAATTTACTGACTAAGATATGATAAAATTATATTTTAATGATGTTTAATGTCACCGTCGTTGCTTTCAAGAACTGACTCACTAACATTATGTTTCAATCACTAGCTCGACGACATAATATAAACGAAGATTTGATACACAAAATACAACTAAAATGATTCTAGGATCATATTTTGTCATATTTTAGTCAACAAGTTAACGTCCATCTTAAACGACAACCAATTATTAATAGAAAATGACAAGTTTGGAACATATGCATATTTGAGTGACCATTTTGTAACTTTTAATAGTCAAAAGACTCAACAAAGTAGCACTTATAGTCATAGGACTATTTTGTAACTTTTAATAGTTAGGGGACTCAACAAAGAAATGTCATAATGTTGGGGGACCATTTGTGTACTTTATCATATTTTATATTTGCAATTATTTTTTTAAAATTAGAAAGTATTTTTCATTGGTATTGATAATAAAAAATCATTTATAATCATCAATTTCATAATGAAAATATAAATTGTTATCATATCTATACAATAAAAATAATTTTAAAAATTAACGAAAAGAATTATTCATAATATATGGAAAAATTCAATTTATTAGTTTAGGTGATTACAAAATAAGCGTGTGTTTTAAAGATTCTTTATCATTTAAAAATGAAAGCTCATACACCCTTTACAATCTTTAGTGTTTGAACATAAAACCTCTACGAATAACAATCATCCTTTTAACAATTGGGGTGGCTTGGTTCGTACAAAAAATTAAATTTAGAATATTCATTTAGCAACACTAGATTCAGATGAAAATGCATATAGTTCTAATGCAAATGGATTTGAAAAATATTCTGTTATGGTTAAATAAGATGCCTTCAGCAACACCAGATTCACATTATGATAGATGTAAATGCATGTAGTTCTAATACAAATGGATTTGAACAATATTCTATTATGGTTAAATAAGATGCCTTCAACATTGACGCTTGATAGAAAGTAGCTCAAGGATTGGAAGACCCGATCACAATTACATCCCTATTTGTCGAATAGAAATCTATAGGATGTATTGAAGAGAATATCTACTTACATTATGGTTGAACTTGGAGTAACTATGCATATCGAAAATCCTAACCAGTAAATTGAATCTAAAGTGGTGTCTTTATTCTCATCATTTGATAGAAGGTGCATCTTTAGTCAGATATTTAACATTCTTTGAAGAAATTGTCTCGAATTTGGAGATTGCGGAGGTCAAATATGATATAGAGAAATTAATTTTTTATAATCGTAAATCTCTCTCAAATAATAAAATTTATGATTTATTAACTTAGAATGATAAGATAAAACATCTAGTAATTAGATTAGAGTCTCAAGGAGAAGAACTCGTTATTCATGAGAGGACTCAAGAAAAGAGGTATTGATTCCTTAGCTTGGTATGATTCCTTAGCTTGGTATGATATATGAAAATTAATGGGTAATATCTCATTTGATCCCTCAATTATAATAAATTTTAAAAAAATTAGGTAATAATTGCAAAAAAATTAAAGTAAAAAAAAATATTCATAATTTTTATCTAAAAGGCATAATGTCAAAAAATACCCCTAACGTTTGATTAAATAGTTATTTTGGCTCATATTTTTATTTTTAGCATTTTGGTCCTCAATACTTCATTTTAAGGCTAAACGGCCCTTAATGTTTAACTAAATAGTCACTCTAGCCCTTGTTCTTTCTTTATGGAGCATATTGGCCCTCAACATATAATTTTATGGCAAAAAGATTCATATTTTAGAGTGCAAACTAACGGTTTTCATCCACAGAGGGGACTTTTTACTCTAAATTGAAACGTTAAAATGCTCTAAAAAGATTAAGAGCCCAGGTGACTATTTAATCAAATGTGAAGTGCATTATTTGTCATTACAATTTATGGCACGCACCAAGCTATCTCAGTGGTTAAAGAGATGATTGTTATCCCTAGAGATATTAGATTTGAGCACCAAAGATTGTAAGGGTGTTTGAGCTTTCATTGTCAAATGGTTGAGAATCTTTAAAACATATATTATCTTGTAATAATCATAGATTAATAAAAAAATTACAATTTATGAATTTTGTTTTGAAATAATGATACTTTTTAAAAGTATTTTTTTTACCAAAATAACATTTTATTAACATTTTCGATAGTATTTTGTTATTCTCTCCTTTGTAACAAAAAATTCTTAAACCATCTCAA